AGCATTAAGCAATTGTTATCATTTCTCATAACCAAGTTCCTAAAACATAGAGGCTCCGGACTGAAATCTAAGTAAATGTACATCTGGTTTGCAATTCTTTAAATGGCTGTACATTTCAAACCCCAGAAAAAGCAGGCTGCAGATAGCTGTTTATTACAAATGACTTCCACCTCCTCCACAGCCCTCAAAGGCAAACTATAAAGCTGTGTGCAAAGCCAGACAATCTGGGCACCCAGCCATAAACCATCACTGCTGCAGCACAGATAACTGTTCTCCCTCTCAGCCATCCCTGGCTGCAAACCCACGGGGAAGAGCTCCAGAAACCAGACCTCAGGACCGCCAGGGCTTCTAATATTTTATGAACTTGAATTACAACTACGTTCAAGAGCTCAGTGCTGAAAAATTACAGCGCTGATTCACACCCAGGGCTGAGACCAAAACTCACTCGGATTTGCCTGGTAGCCTGAACCTCGAGATGCAAGAACAGCCAGTGATTTTACAGCTGCCTTCAGTGACAGAAGCCTTTTTACTGGGAGGAAGAGACAGACATGCTACTCTCTTCAAAAATAAGACAAAAGAATCAGATGCATGTTTTAGAGTAGTGCTGCATTTTCCACCATCTTTGACACGACCTCAAAGAGCACAGGGATTGCTCGGTGCCAGTTTCTTTATGATCAAATCTAGATATTTGTACCTTGGGCGGGAGATTTTAAAACATATTAGTGACAAGGTAGGAAAGAGCACAAATGAAGTTTCAGAAAACACAGTTGTAACTGTATTTGGGAATCCACAGTGAAGTTAACCATGATTAAGTAATGATAAAATAAGCTCAAGTACATCTCCTTCTGGTATTTAAGATGTACAACTCAGCCATGCTTTCAGTTGACAATTTTCCTAACTAGCACAGATTCCTAAAGGGAGATCAAATAATACTTTGATTCCTCTGCTTTCATACATTAAGAATAACCATCTTTCATTTTACCAACAGCATTTGCCAGTGAAGAGACGGCACAGAGCACATAGATCATTTAGTAATGCAATTTACTGTCACTTCTAGATCATCTCCCCATTCAATAAAGTGTACTTCTCTTCTAAACACTATTTGCCCTGGCTGATATCTTCATAATACAGCTGAAAACCTCAAGCCATTATCACTAGAAGGCATCAGCTGATCCTAAATTGGCTAGACTGCAGCGTCACAGGCATTTAAGAGGTTTCCTTATCATTCATCTTTAATACTGAGGGATCGACACACTCCTACCTGCAGCTTCCAGGCCAAGGGGAAACCTTCTAATGGTATTACCATTATCTTGTAATCTGAATTTTAAACAATTAAAACAATAGCACTTTTGTGTTGCAGGTCTCTTACTGTTACCAAAGATGATACATTTTTTATCAGTTGTCATGTTCAAAGTCTTACATAAAACACTGATTTTTTTTTTAAAGCAGAAATATACACTCTGCACTGAAGCTGCTGAACCTTCAAAGAGAAGCAGCACTGTAACAAGGCACTTAAATTTAAGCCATCAACAGAGACCATTTGATTTACTCAGGAAAGGCTTGGTCATTTTATTTAAAATCTGCAGTTCTTTTAGTCAATACGATCTGGCAATTCTTTCCAAATGAAAGCCTCTTTTTACTGAAGCAGGGGATGGCTCCACCCCTGACCTCCTCCTTCAGCTTGTTTTGGAAAGGGGCCAGATGACAGCATTTGGAAAAGCGCATGTTTATCTCGGCGAGGCCAGCTGCTAAGTTAACATATTACCCGTTCCCACATCCCCCGCTCTTGGTTAAGTCTTCACAGCTAAAACTGAAAGTAAACGCTGCCATTGGGCTTTTCATAAATGTAACATGAAAGAGAAAAGAAGTCTCCATGGCACGGAGCATCTGAAGGGGCTGCAGAGGTCCCGGTCATTTTCAGAGAACAGCAGGCAGTAACTCTGTCAATAAAATTCCTGGCCTTTCTGAATGAAGTGAATGAAAAACTGAAAAATAAGCGGGTTTATTTCTAGATTAATTTGAGGCTATGCTCTCTATAAGACTGCCACTCAGCAACAGTTTGCTTGACTACGCAAGGAGATTATAAACCCCTGCTTGACAAAACCTTTCACTTGATCTTGTTTTATTGTTAGTCCATACTTGGCAAGGTATGGAACATAAGAGCTTTGAGAACTTCAACAAAGAATCTTCAGTTAAAATAGTCCTATGCCCAATTGTTTTTCTTATTTTAAGGAAATTCCATGTCATTATTTTCAAAGTCTTAAAAACCTCTTTCAAGCAAAAAGAGTATAGAATTACCTTACTTCCCACAAATATCAGTGAGAGACCTCAACTTATTAAAAGCAGAGTGTGAGATGTTATTAGAAAAGACAGATCCTGGAGAAGAAACTAGAAATTAAGGCGGAGGTGGGGTTTTCATTGATCCCATCAAGTCCAGCAGGCTTTGCAATGGGCAAACCCATCCACTCACAGGCGATCAGAGCCAGATTTTGGAGGAAGCCAAGATCCCATGGCTGAGGGTGAACCTCCAAGTCCCCACACGGTTTTTAGCCCAAGGGCAGCGTCCCAGAGCAAACTCCACTGTGCTGTGGCCAGCGGGGAAATGGCACAGCCCAAGGCTGCCCACAAGGACATTCCCAGGCACTGGGACTGGCAACCTGCACCGCTGACAGCCCCAAAATAATCCATGTGCTGCAAAGCTGATGTACAGCACACACACAACAGCTCTTAGGCTGATGGATCCCAGACTTAAATCTGCCAATATGGGAATCCACACATAGAACAGAAAAATTAATATATCCTGCTGCAATCCAGAGGACCTCTCAATAAAAAGATTTGTCTTGTTTCTTTCATTGCTATGGACAAAAACATTAGACAAAAATAAAAAATATTGGCTAGAATGAGCCCCTGCTAATGCCCATGCCTCTCGCCCTGGAGCAAGTCCTTGCTGCAGCAGTTTTCCCCGTGGCAGCACCTGTTCTCCGGGGGCTGGATTGCAATGAACCCTCCTCATCTCAGGAAGCCAGGCAGATCACTTCCACTCAGAAATGATCCGTTCCCCTTTGAAGATAAGGACAAAGCCACACAAGGCATTATTACACTACTGCTGCCTATCTTAAGCACTCATTTTCCCTAAAAAAGTTAAAATTAATCTGATTTACTACAGGTTTTTTTTTTTTTTCTCACAGAGTCCTGGGCTCGGAAGCAGCCAGGTTATCCACGAGGAATCTCAGCCAAAAAACACCAAGTGCCCCCCAGAGCAGCCCGAGCTTCCAGAGGCTGGAGCCGCTTCCTCACTGGGGTATCCAGGGCTGCCACTGCTGCCTTCACCTTCTGGAAAGAATTCCAGAAGCCACAGCAGGGACGCCAGCGCATCCGGGGGCTGTTGCTCAGCACACACCATTTTGAGCTCACAAATAACACACAGCACCAGCCAGCCAGACATCCCCGGGATTCCTGAAGCCCAGGAACCGCGGGAAGGAAACTCTGCGATGTGCTAAGCACAGGTTGCAAGTCGCCTCCTATTTCTTTGGAAAACACCAGGGGAAGCAGTGAGAACCGGTGTGTACCTTCTCGAAATTATTAATTTTTTTTTAAATTAAATATCCGAGAGGAAATTTCATTTAAATTCTCATTTAAATTTGTTGGGGAATTCAAAAAAAGACCCAAAAAACCCCACCCACCGCAAGGAAGGAGGGCAGGATCTGGAAGCCGTGCCTGGCTCTCCCAGTGCACCCAGCAGCAGTGCAGATGTTCTCCTGCTCCTCCGCTCTGGCATTGTCCTCAGGTCCACAGCACCACCGACACCCACCTGATTTAAAGCTCTGCACCACTAACAGCGGGATTTATTGGAATTTTAATTACCTTAACCGGCCTAATGTCCACAGCAAATTTCTGTACATAAATTAGCATAATTCGCCAGATACATACATATGCAAACGAGAAGGAAAAATATGCAACAGACACGGGTATGACGTCCCAAAGATTATTTCTAAATTTAAACTGGCTGTTAGAATAATTGAATAAATCTCATCTCGCAGATACACTCGAGTTGTAGCAGAAAATAAACTAGTCACAAAGACCTGCAGTGTTATTTTTAATGGGAAAAGAGGGGGGGGAAACCCAATTGAGTTCAATAAATCCCATAATTGAACCTTCAACTAATTACATATTAAGAAGATTAACCTTTGACACAAACTTGTGATACAAACAAAGAAGCCTCGAACAATTAATAAACTTCCAGTGTTTCAAGATTTCTCAGGTTAACAACTGAGCCCTCCCCATTTTCCTCCCCTTCTGCGTCGCAGTTAAAGGAATAAACTCTGTTTAATATTCTCTCTCCCCCTGGACATTCCAGGTTTAGACGAAGATCTCTCTGTGAATACTCAGGAGAAAATTACTGCGGATCCTCACAATCTCATTACGCGGGGAAAAAAAAAAAAAAGAGGAAAAATAACCCAAAGCTAGATATTTGAACTTTTAAGAGAAAGCAGCCACGAAGGACAAAGCTGGAGCTCATGTGCTCGCCCACAGGGCAGCACTGCTGGCCATGCCCACAATTTTCCAGCCCTGGGATCATTTCCAAGGCGCTGTGCGATAATTTTCACACGTGTAAGTTCTAAAGCAAGAGCACACGGCCGTGCCTTGCAGCAGGAGCTGCCTTCATGTCATGTCTGAATGGCACAACACGCTCACAAATGGCACTTTCTGCTCGCTGTGCGGGGACAAACAGCGATTCCGGACACAGAAAAAACACCCAGTTAATTCTACCATTAAAAAAATATCCGGAGGTGGCTCGTATTTTTAAAATTCGTATAAAAATAAAAGAGATTTTGAAACGTTTTGGGGTGCTTCTTGCTTCGCAGACTAATAAACAGTTTAAAAATAATAATAATCTAGTTTAGACTTGTGAAAAAGGAGCAATGCACCGGCTTTGCAGGTCTCTTCCCCTGCTAACTTCTACCGTGCCCGGATTTAGAGAGGCTCTTACCCCTTCTTACCTTTTAGTCTTTTCTTTATGGGGCTCTTTGGCAGCTTTCGATTCAGTCTTGCTGTAAGGAAACAAGTGAGTATTTTGTCTACCGTGTAGGGGTCTCTCTGACGTGTTCCTTTCTTATTTTTAATGCTTCTTTTTTTTTTTTTCAATTTTTTTGTAAGTGTACCCGTAATTTCACGAATATGAATACGAAAAAAATCTCACACGGCCAAAAAAATTAAGTTTTTTGTTGTTTTGTCGTTTGTTTACCCCCCTCAGGGAAAAAAAAAAAAA